ACTAGGATCTACAACGCTACCAGAAACAGGATCCTCGATTGAAGGTGCAAAGCTCTGAGCCTTCTGAACGGGTTCTTCTTCTTTCTCATCGGGCCAAACTATCGTCGACCTATCTCTCTTGAAGCGCCCAAACATAGTCGTTGGTTGCACAACATCGATATGTTCGTGGAGGTTCTCAGGTAAGCTATAACCTGTAGTTCTGACCATCTGATCACCGCTGGTATGCTTCCAGACACTGTATTTCTAAAGGAGAAATCATATAAGAATGATAGTGAACACCAAGGCATTGATGAATGACTCACTGTGTCAAGCATTTCTTCGGCCATGCCGATCGGGATAGTCACCGTTACCCAATCCTTCGCAGGAGAACGAACTAGATCAGTCTCCTTCAAACCGTAATACTCCAGCCATTCATTAACAGCATCAATACTCGACTGGTGAGGTGCTACCAGGGCCTCGGTCTCCTCCTTGGACAAATGGTCACCATAGCGTTCGTGGTCTGGGTCGCTGACTTCATATAAATGTTTCTCCAGTATATGGAAGTTAGGTTGTGGTAGACCAATGCGAAGGATGATCTTGTGATCTGGTGATGGAATGCCGGTAGCCGTCCATCCGCGAGGTGGTGTTATAGTCTCTTTGACTTTATGGGGGCATGGTTTAGAAGGAAGTGCCCAACTACTCAGAGGAGCAAGGCTCAGGACAGAGAGGAGTCCACGCAGGAGGTAGATTCGCATGAGGTCCAGATGACCCCGTTGTGAGAGAGCGAACTGGCTATATATCAGACGGATGCTGTGGAACTTAGTTCCCTGGCCCGTTATATCCGCGCTCATCTCACGTTTGACATTGTCATTGAGCAGGATTAGCTCATGTGCGTTGTCAGTCCACATTCCTGTGCACAAAAGATGCCGTCAAAAGGCAAGCTGTGCGATACTAGCAGAAGTTGGCTGGGAGAAACTACATATCTTCACAGAGACCATGACTACTGGTCTCGGGAGGGCAACGGGGACGCACAACTCATAAAAGATATCTCACGATGTATGAGAGTGGTAATTAGCACTCACCCTCATCAGGCTACATCAAAACAAGACCGGACAAAACACTCAGGAGGAGTTATACCCGGACCCCCTCCCCTTTCTCCCCTAACAATAACAATCCTGTGATATCTATGCGTTGAACAATTGTCAGATCATTGTGTCAAACCCCAATCCGGGCGGTTTGCACTTGTTATGCTCGAGCCTCTGTGCAGAATTTTTGATCAGCTGGTATCGAGTACTAACCTGACAACATGACTGGAACAGACTCGGTTTCAGTCTTCGCTGAAGGAACGTTTGAGGAGCAGGCAAGAACTTTCAACTAAGATGTATATCAATGTGATCTCAATCTTTGTACCAGATACAAGAATTGGTTAACTATATTGTTCGAAATCGATCGGAAGAAGAACGTGCTGCTTTCATACGCCCCTTTCAAGATGCCTTCAAGGCTTTCGAGGCGCAAGAGCCACTCAAAATAGATGTTGAATGGAAGCGTAGGATTTTCAAAATGGTGTTGGTCGAAGTAAAGAACCTTGGTGATGGCACGGAGAAAGGTGTGTGCTTTTTTCTGCCTTGGAAATCCGCTTGGTTAACAATCTCTTAAAAATAGAAATAGAAGGTTTCTTCAACCTGCTCTTTTCGCATTTGTACTCTTTGTACGCGTCCGATGGGTCCGACACCAAAGACTACGTGAATGTTTTCATTCAACTTCTTACAGACGAACCCTCAACACAAAAGTTCCTCAAATACCGCATGTAGGCAAACTTCACTTTCAGAGACAATAATCATTGACGATGCAGCACTTTAGACTATCAAACCTTTTCAACGCCACTGAACACACATCATCCATTCGACCCTTGGTTTACAGCGCCCTTGTACAAATATCCAGCGCCAATGGCGACTTAGACGCTCTACAAATTACGCGTAAAAACATAGAGAAGTGGCTCTCCGAATGGCATATTGCTCCAATTGAGAAAGCTTCGTTCCTAAAAACTATTTCTGGCGCGTATGAGGCACAGTCACAACCGTGCGTTCTTGCATATAACTCTTGACCTTCCCTTGCTCATCCATCCTCTTTTCAGAGAAATCGCCTATGAATATGAACGACTCTATGTACAAACATTGCCTTTAACATCACCTGATGTTCAACAAGGTGCCATCGACCTGATCACGACCGCACTCAGACTTCCCAGCGTCTTCGACTTCGACCCTCTATTCAAGCTCGATGCGGTCATATCGGCAAAAGGCCATGAATTATTCTCCCTTCTCCAGATATTCCTTAGTGATGGTCTCTTGGAGTTCAATGCCTGGATAGGGTCACGCTCGCATATTCTCGACAATCACAGTATGTCTTCTCATCGTACACTCCTGACCTGGTCTTTAACATCGTACAGAACTGGATCGTAGGCAACTAGAGCATAAAATTCGACTGCTTACACTTGCCTCTCTCGCTTTGCAGTATGTTGGTCGTGATCTGCCGTACTCAAAAGTAGCAGAGGCTCTTCAAGTAGATGTTGCTGAAGTCGAAAAGTGGGCCATTGATGGTGATCTCGCCTATTTCTTCCCTTTTGAAATACTGATAGACATACCTGCTAACAAAAAGACATGGAAGTACCTCTTCTTTTCAATTGTAGCACACCAATTCCATGCACTCGTGAGCCTTCCATCGATACAGCTACCAGCATCAAAGAAATTGTCCGCTCCAGAACCATCAAACCCATGACGGAAGAAATCACCCAGGATCTCTCGCATCAGGTCCTCTGTCGATCCAAACTCGTCGTCGATGTACGAACGCAAGGCGGGCTTTGCAGCAAGGGCGGGTATATGAGAAAGAGTATTGCAAATGGGAAGAAGGATGCGATAGATTTGGGTATACTTGTCTATGAACATTAAGGCATTTGGGACATTGTGGTCACCCATGTGAATGACACTTGAGCCTATCCATGCGCCAACGCTCTTCTGTGCTTTGTGAAGGATGTTGTGCATCATACGAGAAGTTTTTGGTGACGCCTGTACCCGATTCAAGCCCTGGCCAGTATCGCGTAGGCGGTATGGAACGTTTTCGGCGAGTAAATCCTGCTCCGCCAATGACCACAAATGGAACATATCTACGAAACTACATCAGATGCACGGTTCAAACAAGACATTGAAAATGCTCCCTTACCATGTAAAATTTCCCTCCAAAGCGTCAAGCTCTGGAGGACATACGCGTATTGTTTACCATGATCATGAGACAGCCGCGCCCCGTCTCTACCGCTGCGGATAGCAAGGCTACTTTTGCTGTTTTTAGCCTGTGTTGGATGGAAGTACTCTTTTAAATAACTAATCATCCGCTCGCATGGGTCACGATTAGCACGCAAAAAGGCGTGGTTGTCACCGATAGAGTAAAGACATTGCCGTAGTTTTTCTTGTGAGAGTCCCTCACGCTCGTAACGAGCCGCAAGAGTTTCGATGGCCCGTTCCTTGCTTTTAATATCTCTTTGGATGTCTCGCCGCGACCGGCCTTCTGAGTAGATTTCCTTGGTCGCAGCAGTAATAAGATCATCTCGCAGAAGGTCGGTTGCATGGTATTCTTCCAAAACGGAATAGACAGTTTTAATCGGCCGGACGCAAGAAAAGTTGAGCAGGTCTTTGACGTCGTGTGATTGACTATCCTGTGATAAGAAACCGTGGTTGTAAGGGAAATTTGCGATTGAGAGGATAAAGCAGTACTAACCTGCAGGAGGTAGATAAGCTTGCCATATGTAGTTCGCATCTTGTCAGGATTCATGATTTTGTGTCTCCGCCCGAGTTCAAATATCGATTGGTAGAACTCTGCATTGGATTCAAAATCTCGGTCTGTAAAAAGTTCTTGCCCTTGCTTATAATCCGCCGCAAGCAGGAGACCCGACATGATTGCGCAAAGCTCTCGGATTTGCTGGACGATTCTCTTTGCTTTGGAAAGTCCGAAGCCAATTGTGTCAATTTTATCAGTATATTCTGAGACATTTAGAGCTGCCTCCAAGAGACGGAGATATTTGCGTTCGATAAGGGTGAGGCGAAGAGGAATGTACTTCGCTCGTTCCACAAACCACTCGCCAACTTTGACGCCAATGGCAGGTTGTGCTCCAAGCATCTCACTGGAAGGTCCGGGAGCGATTCCCTTCCATTCCTCGTCATCGGACTCATTTGCGCCGTCCTCTTCTATGTCCATCTACAGAAACTGCTTAGTCGTCTTGACGACAACTGATTCCAAGGCGTCTTACAGAATCCTCTCGCGTAGCGTCATCAGAGGGAACAGATTTCGTCGACTTTTCCTTGCCTTGTCCGGGCAAAGGCTTAGACTCATGTTGTCTCCTTGTACCCTTCCTATGCTGAGCAGCAAAGCACACCTCGCAATACACATCCGAGCAGGTTTCACAAAGCAACTGAGCAGGCTGATCTTCGGAAGATCAGGATTCATGAGCTAATTATGCACAGGACCAGAATTGAACTGACCTTCGCACTCGACACAGTAGCCTTCAGCAGCTTGCGTCGCGGCTCCTTCTTCATCCCACCCGACAGCGCTTACTCCGTTGCTAAGCGTCCCTGGGTGTTCGACGGCTTCATGATCGTTACTCAGGATGGTTTCTAGGCTAAAGGCCGCACTGGGCTTAGTGCTATCTTCGACGATAGAGGGAGCTCCCGTCATTCCCAGGTCGGTGAGGGCTGTGAACGTGGATCACTCTGTCGCCCGAAATAATTTTTGTCGACGCGTCAAAGCCCTCACGTGCGGTCGTCGAGATTCTCTAATAATCTCGATCAACCACGTTGGAGTTCAAGAGAGTTCAAGTCTCTTGCAAGAAGCCCAGGATGTGGATTATTCTGTCAAACGAAAACGTTTGAATACAATGATCATCCCTGATTGCGCCTTTTCTCTGTCAGAGGTGTGGAAATTAGTCCCTCGAGATAATTTCGGATCCTGGTCTCTCACGGAAGCATGACTTTAAGGCCCCCGTTGTCTAATGGTTATGACGTCAGACTTCTACTCATGTTCTTCAGGTAGGTATCTGGAGGTTGCGGGTTCGAGTCCCGCCGGGGGTTCTTTGAAATTCCTCTTTTTCACCCTCGTTTGAGGGCGATTCTCATGAAAGATCGTCAACGGTCGATTTTATTTTTCTTCTTTTACTGCCAATCTCATATTTCTCGTTCTTATACCTTCCTTATCTGAGGACGAAAGGCACCCTATAAGTGACGATGGTTATTTCACATAATATCGCGTCTGTATGTACATTAGCCTGTGCATAATATACAAGAGATCCATAGAAACCATTTGACGGTGCTATGGTCCCACCTGAATTACAGTATTTCTATCCCAAAACCCCTTCAATGTATCTTTCCTGTGTTCAAGCCTCCGCCCTGTCCAGTCCTCCTCCCCAACCCTACCAGCCCAATCTTCCTGTTCACCCCAACTCTCTGTCCACCCATCATTCGCGCCATGAGCGTTCACCTCGACATCAGGCTGGACCGCTTCAGGAACTATCGTCGCTAGCACATCTGGTGGATTCACCGCACGAGGATGATCATTATGCACATTCAACGGCGCAAGTGCAACTCGTCGTTTGGCGTTTTTGAGCTGATTCTTGGCGGGTCTGGGTTGTGAAGCAATAGAAGAGTGACTAGTGGAGAGACTTGGGGGATAGGAGTGTTCGGCTTGCTCGTCGGAATCATGGGTATTGTTTTGATACTCTGGTGTTGTTGAATTAGTCGAGCGTTTGTGAATGGGTACAGTGGGGGGAGAAGGCGGACGCGGACGTGCACGCTCAATGTCACTATTTCGGTACGTATTATCGTCAATGTCATCATCATCTGGCGCGTTAAACAGGGGTTCTCGATCCTGAGATGTAGCATTATGGTCCTCTTCTAGAGCTAGTGATTTGGTAGATGCTTTGACTATCGAGTCGATCAACCAAAATTGGAGGACGTTCATGATGATGGGGAAGATTCCCATGACGCTGTAAAGGCATTATGAACTGAAGCCTATGAGGAATAGATGTCGTACAATATGACTTGAACAGAATCTCCGCTCCCGACGCGTGTCCAACTCAGAAGCCACTCTCCAACGTTAAATATGCCGGGGACTGTCACAATGATAACAATAACAATAATTTTCATCGTTGTGAGCGCAAAGACATAGACTGCTGCTTGTCGAACCCAGTATTTGAAAGAAGGTGGAGTGCCATATATCCCCGATTCGAATCCCTCCCACTTCAGTCTCTTCGTAAGGATGTCTGTGAGGGCATGGAGGATGAGGTATATTATCCCCACGCCTGCAATTGTTGGAACACATTTCAAATTTGGTTAATAGATGGCTCACCAAGGGTTGTGTCTAACAATATATGCAGGAAATAGAAAACACAAGCATTACCGGACGTATAACCCGAAATGATGTCGGAAGCCAGGACATTAGCACCGTGAACAAACATCTGGCCAGCGACTTGTTTAGAAACGTCGAAAATCCTAGGCCCAAATCAGACCAATTCGTCACCAACGAGGATTGGTGTACCATATTGCCCACGGGCGCTTTCTCGGTTCCCTGTGGCGTTTATACACGAGGGAAATGATAACGAAAACTCCCAGAGCACCTTGTACTACCTAGAATAGACAGTCAGAAACCTATGACAAGGACAAGCTGGAGGCGGCCACTGACCAGGGCAGTTGGACCAAGTAGCTGACAGGAATCATCCGTTGGTACAGAGTCGTACAATCTTGCAGTGTAGACGGCCATATGCGTTTTAGACGCCATATGTGTACAAGTTAGCAGACAGCCGATACGACCATTAGCGAGGCGGTAGATGTGTATGTAAGCAGGTAGCGGGATGGAAGTGATCTGTTTTGATCAAACTGAGCTTTTCCTCGAGACGCCGTACACTCGACACCTTTGTTTCCACAAGTCTCCTATCCATATAATCAATAAGCAGCATGAGCTTCTTCAGTCGCGGTGGAAATACTCCTACCCCTAGCACCCCCAACACTTACAGACGCATACCCGACCAATCTGTGGGGCCACACTCAGGAATGCGACAGCTTCCACAGTCGACCCAGAACAATGCACCCTCTTCACCATATATCGATCCTTCAGCTGCACTCTTTGAGAGAAGACAGTACAATAATTCTCCGAATGCCCCCATGGAGCGAAGACAGCAGTATGATCGCGATCCAACTCCGTTAGCAAGCAGAAATGAAAGCGCAAAAAGGTAGGTTGCTATCGTGCTTAGAGGCGATAGATGCCGAACCTTTCTTAGATTTTATGTAGTAGAATCGCCGAATGCCGCACTTGCCCTGACAAACTGTGCCATAGTTCATCGCGATGACTTTCCGAAGAGTCAACATGTCTGTGTCAATGAAGGCTTTGTACTAACTCTCAGGTATGTTCTTTCACATGTGTCCGAAGAGATATATCGATGTATCCCAGGCATGATGACACTAATGAAATACAACGGGGAACAATCGGCGTGTCTGCTGTCCATCGTCAGTGGATGAAGTTGTCGGTTAAAGACGTAGTCACTGTTCAAGCTCTTCCCCCGCCGCCACACCAAAGGGCTCCTGCGTTCCTCCAATCCATCGATCTGGAAGTCGGTTTCAATCGTGCTGCAAATAATATCGCAGAAGTATTCTCCGCTGACGACATAGCCAAACTCTTCTTGAGAGCGTATGATGGCATCATCATGTCTGTCGATGGAATAATTGTTTTTGAATTCCACGGGCAATATCTTAAAGCGAGTGTCAAGGCGGTCAGTACCTTAGTTCTAGCCGACGAGCAACAGCCAAGTGTACCTCCTGGTTCTGGGAGTCAACGACCTAGCCAACATCAGAATTTCGGTATCGTCATGGATAGGACAGACGTCACAATTATCAAAGCGCCAGATAGTAAGATCAAAATCAAGTCGAGTGCCACAAAGTGAGTCGAGAGAAACGATTCGTTCTTGGTCTAATGACCTGATCAGACCTCGGCCAAATGCTATCCTTGCTCCCAACTTCAAGTTTGAGGACATGGGCATTGGTGGTTTGGACGCAGAATTCGCTGAAATCTTCCGTCGTGCATTCGCGTCGCGCGTATTCCCGCCCGCCCTCGTCGACAAACTTGGCATAGAACACGTCAAAGGTTCGCTTCTCAATTCTCAACCCTTTTCCAAGATACTTACAATGTATCAGGTATCTTACTTCACGGTCCTCCTGGTACTGGAAAGACTCTCATCGCACGACAAATTGGAAAGATGCTCAATGCGAGAGAACCAAAGATCGTCAATGGCCCCGAGGTTCTCAGTAAGTATGTTGGTGCTTCTGAAGAGAACATCCGCAAACTTTTCGCCGATGCGGAGAAAGAGGTATTACTCTTCTCTCTTACAAGCCCTCACCGACTGACCTGACATTTAAACCTTAGTACAAGGAGAAGGGTGATGACAGTGGCCTTCATATAATCATTTTCGATGAATTGGATGCTATTTTCAAGCAGCGTGGCTCTACAAATAATGGTACTGGTGTCGGTGACAGTGTCGTCAATCAGTTGCTTTCAAAAGTAAAGTAAAAAGCATTCAAGTTCCAAATACGATGCTCACAACGTCATTAAAGATGGACGGCGTCGACAAGCTGAACAACATTCTCATTATCGGTATGACCAACCGCAAGGATATGATCGACGAGGCCCTCCTACGTCCTGGTCGTCTTGAAGTTCACATGGAAATCTCGTTGCCAGACGAGAATGGTCGTTATCAAATTCTCAGCATCCACACGAGCAAGATGCGGATGAACGCAGTCATGGAAGCTGATGTTGATTTGCATGAACTCGCCGCGTCGACCAAGAACTTTTCTGGAGCCGAGATCAGTGGTCTTATTAAGAGCGCATCGAGTTTCGCGTTGAATCGTCATGTCAAGGTTGGCACGGTGGCTGGGATCTCTGCTGATGTGGCGAACCTACGTGTTAATCGGGGAGACTTCATGAATGCCCTGGAGGAAGTCCATCCTGCGTTTGGTGTCTCTGAAGAGGAACTTGCGCAAGCTATACAAAATGGGATCATTCATTTCGATTCCGTGATTGATGTGAGTTTGCGATATAAACTCCCTTGAAATCTACTTTCTCAATGTCTTTGTATAGGAAATTCTGCAATCAGGAGAGCTACTCGTGGAACAAGTGCGCTCGTCGACTCGTACACATCTTGTCAGCGTCCTTCTACATGGTCCTCCTGGTGCTGGTAAGACTGCGCTGGGGGTTTCGATCGCACAAGCATCCGAGTTTCCGTTCGTCAAGCTGATCTCGCCTGATAACATGGTCGGATACTCTGAGAATCAGAAGGTTGCGGCCATTACAAAGGTTTTTGCTGACAGCTACAAGAGTCCCTTCAGTGTCGTTGTCGTTGACAATATGGAGCGGCTCATAGGTACGTCCTATTTCTGAATCTGCCTTGGGAACAGAGTACCGATTCATTGTACAGACTGGACACCTATGGGCGCGCGGTTCTCCAACGGAGTGCTCCAGACGCTATTAGTATTGTTCGGACGGATACCACCCAAGGTATCTTTCAACATTTGTCATATTCCCTCCTCATCTTAATTTCTTCTCTTCGAAGGGCCGACGTTTGCTCATCATAGCAACATCATCACAACGTTCGATCCTCTCCGACCTTGGATTCACAGAAACCTTTGATTCAGAGCTCCGCGTACCTCCAATTACCAAATTGAGCTCATTAGACAACATCCTCCGCGAAGTTGAGCTCTTTCCGGCATCACAAGAACGGCAGGAGGTCATCAGGTTATTACACGAAGCGGGCTTCGAGGGCGACGAGCTGTCGTCGAAGTTCCAGATTGGCATTAAGAAATTGCTGAGTATAATCGAGATGGCGCGCCAGGAACCTAATGACGTGGCGCAGCGGTTGATTGGAGCGCTTATGGGACTTTTATCATAGAGGACTGTAATGTCGTCATTGTCACTGGATGGCACTGCGATGTAATTCAGAATAGCCTCAATTACTAGTACTGGGTCTCGCTGAATCATTGGTTTGTTGCTCACGAGACCAGAGGAGCATCGGCGAGAATTTTTCAGGCAT